TTCATCTTCTTCAGGCCTTTCACCCTCAGGCATCACCTGCCTGGCCCTTACAGACACCAGCTTTTGCAGGCTTCCTCGAGAAGCAAGAGCAAGTGGAACAGTAGGGAAAATGCCAGACCAAGGGGCCTCTCAGTTGTGAATGAGGCCTTCATTCCTCTGGTGAGGCTTCTGTGAAAACCAAGTGTGATATAATAATAAAGCAAGAACTTGCTCTGAAAACAAGACGCTGAAGGCTGGACCTGGAATGATACACAGGTGCCCGGAACGGAAAACCCAAGCGGCAGAACATTCTGGATACTGTGACATTCTCTTTTTTAAAATTCATACAGAACTCGGGTACAAGCCAGAGGTGCAGGGGCAGTGAGGGACAGAGTGGGGAGCAGAACAGGCAGATCGACGAAGTACACTGCTGAGGGGAGCAGCGGGCGGGCCAGGAGAGGTCTGCCTCGCCATGTGGTCACCTCCGGGGCAGCCGGGTATCAAACTCACGTGGAAGTGGCTTTAGCTTCTTGGCGCTATGCTTAAACCCACTGTGCCACCAGGGAGGGCCCCCACCAGGACTTTTTTTTTTTGGTAATTTTTTTTTTTTTAATTACAAAGTTTATTTTTACATCATTTTGCACATTTTTTTTTCCATCTCGATTGTAATCCCCGCGGGTTTCCCATCACCAAATCACCCCTGTGCCACCACCATAGTCCCGTGCATTTCCCTCCCTTCCCCCGCCCCCCCGTTTTTGATCCCATTCCCCACTCCGCCCCCACAGAATGTCTCTGGTATATGGTTGTTCATTATTTTTGTTATTTTCTCGCCTGGTCCTTTATACTCCTGCTATGAGTGAAACCATCCAGTATTTTTCTTTCTCTTTCTGGCTTATCTCACTAAGCATGATCTTTTCCAGTTCCATCCAAGTTGCTGCAAAAGACATGTGTTTCTCTTTTTTGGTTGCTGAGTAATATTCCATTGTATATATGTACCACATCTTTCTAATCCAGTCATCTACTTTTGGGCATTTGGGCTGCTTCCATGTTTTTCCAATTGTAAATAAAGCAGCAATAAACATGGGGGTACAAGTATCTTTTTCAATGAGTGTTTTTGTGTCTTTTGGATAGATACCTAGGAGTGGGATTGCTGGGTCGTAGGGAAGCTCCATGTTTAGCAGTTTGAGGAACCTTCAAACAGTTTTCCATAGTGGTTGTACTAGTTTGCATTCCCACCAGCAATGCAGGAGAGTTCCTTTTTCTCCACATCCTCGCCAACAATTGTTGTTGCTAGTTGTTTGAAGATGTGCCATTCTCACTGGGGAGACCCACCAGGACTTTTTAAAAAGAAGGTCCTTGCGTCACATAGGCCTTGGGCTCCATTTTAGGGATGCGCAGGCTGGGGAACTCTCAGGATTGAAAGGTAGCAGGTAGCTTTCCTTCTGTGGGAGGGTCTTCCTTGGCTGCCAAAGAGGCTCTCCAGTAGTGTAGGGCCCCTCAATGTGGGTGACAACACCTGTCCCTCCACCAGGCAGGGTCCTGGGGCACTGCCACTGCCAGTGCCTTCTGGAGACTTCTGCACAGTGGCTGCCATTTGTCTCAGGGCCACCGAGGGCCTACAGACAGTTAACTAGCAATGGATAAACTGGGAGCAACAATGCTATTTTCCTTTCTTTTGGAATGGATGGAAATTTCTAAAAGATCCAACTACATAAACTTCTAATGTAGTTGGGGGTAAAAGGACACCAAGAAGCTCTTGGACAAACACTGTCACTATTACTCACTAAATGTTTACTGAACACAAAGTAAAAGTCTGGAACAGTCCTGACTACAGACTGATTCAGGGATGGTCTATGTCTATAGCCACCAGTCACTTGTGGCTTCACAGGCAATCTGTGGAACAGATTTTTTCCTAATGGGTCACCGTACTGGACAATGCAGGCAAATCCAGAAGATTCCCAGGTCCTGGATAACTGAGATGATGCTGCAGGCATCCACCTCCTGGAGGGTGGAGGGCTGGATTATGACATGGATGCCAGCGGGCAAGTAACAGCAGGAGCAGGTGGAGGAAGCTGGTACTGAGTAGCTCCCAAATATGGAGTTGGAGAAAAAGCCTGGAGTGAAAAGCCACACGTGGGAGGCCTTATGTTTTAGGAGTGATTTATATGGCTTGTTCAAACAGGCACCGCTATAGAGGTCAGTCAGTGGAGCCAGGGGAACGAGAGGGGAGCAACCTCACGGACACAGACTTCTTTCTGCAGTGATGGCATCTTCTAAATTAGGCGGTGAAGAGGGTCACAAAGCTATAAAGCAATGTCTCGTCCACTGTGAGTGGAGGCACTGTAAGTTAAAGTAGGTGAACGTCTCCATGCAGGCCTTTAAAGACACTAACCTTGGGAGGTTAGGATCACTGGGAGCCCCCTGGGCGGGGGGAGGCCAGAGCTTCCAGCCATCCCCCTTCTAACTTTGGCTTAAAAAAAGAAGAGCCTCCCGACCTCACTCCCAATCAGTTCTTGAAGCCTTTACCTGTTGAAATCTGTGTGTGCAAAAGCAATGAAACACCAGATGGTGGGAGTTGGATAGGGCTCCTGAGAGTTCTGCTTAAAATGTTGAAGAAGGCAGAAGGTGTGAGAGAAAGTCATCTCTGATCCCTCCTGGAAGGGAACCGATACGGGACTATTAAGTCTGACATTCCCAGAGGTGAAGGAAAGAACCTGTTTTTCACTTCCTGCTGGCTTTTCTTTATCTGGGGCTGAGATGCTTAGGGGAGCACAATATGTAACAGGAAGTAAGCCATGCGCTCACCCAAAGGCTGTCTCTGAGGTAACTTGGGCACCAGAAGAGTGGCAAAAATTAGGTCCTGAGAAATCTAGTCAGAAAGAGGTGATTGCATGTGGGTTTGTACGCAGAATACAAATGGTTCAAGATACAGCTATATGATTAACAAAGATGCAAAATTCTTATATATATATATATTTTAAAAATTGTGCATATGCCCATGGGGATTACAACTGAGATGGAAAAGGCACAAAATAATGTAAACTATTATGTTATTTACAAAATTGTGCATATGCCTTTTCACGTATACATTTCAGAGAAACAGCAGCCTTTAAGTATGTCAAACTGGAAGATGTTTAAATAGTCCTTAGCACTGTTTTTTCTCAGAAACACAGACATCCTGTGGCAGGCTTAAAGGGAAGCCCCCTTGATCCTGAGTCTCAGAAAATCTGCTAGATGGCCCTCCCTGGTGGGGCAACAGATGAAAGCGCTGCACTGAAAGCCGGCTCCCGGTCCCCAGAGGTGACATGGGAAGTGATCCCCATGGCGCGGCAGACCTCTCCTGACCTGCCCGCTGCTCCCCTCAGCAGTGGACTTCATCAGTCGGCCTGTTCTGCTCCCCACTCTGCTGTCTCTGGTGAAGCCTCTCACTGCCCCTCTGCCTCTGGCCTGTACCCCAGCTGTGTGTGCATAAATCAATCAATCTGTGGCGCAATGGGTTCAAGTACAGTACTGTGAAATTCTCTGAAGCTACTGTAGCACGAGTTCAATTCCCCACCAGGGAGCTGACCCACATGGCACAGCGGACCTCTCCTGACCTGCCTGCTGCGCCCCTCAGCAGTATGTTTCAGTCAATTGGCCTGTTCTGCTCCCCACTCTGTCTCTGGTAAATCTTCTCACCACCCCTGCACCTGACTTGTACCCCAGTTCTGGATGCATAGATAAGTAAATCTTAAAAAAGAAAATGTTAGACTGGAGAGGTCAGGCTCAACCACCCCCTAATTTTAAAGGCAACAGGTCTGGAAGGGAAGCCGTCTAGAAGCCTGGCTCTCCACCCACGCCACTTCCCAAAGTGTGACGTGCAGACCTTGTGAAGCGGCACCCAACCTGTATTTTATAGTCACTGCTATTGATCTAATTTAGTGCCTACTTTAAAATCTAAGAAAGACATTAAACTTGTGATTTCACAAATATGAAGGGCAGACTAAGGTGAAGCTGAAAAAGGATTTCAAGTAAATTTAAAACATCAGGCAGTGATGTGAATACACTGAATGCCACTGAATTGTACTCTTAAAAATGGTTGAAGTAGAAAACTTGTTTCATACATTTTACAATGAAAACATTAGACAAAGAATTGTTTAGGTGGTACCAGGCCTCCCTAGGCAAGAACTGTGGCACGTGTGACATTCAGGAAACCTTGCACAAAAACTCACTGAACTACTTGGAAGTACTGAGTTACCACGAACCCCTTAAACTAAGCCAGTGGCCAGGAGTCACAGGGTCCCCCAGTTCCCATCCAGAGCCTAGAGGAGAGTATGATCAGTCCTGTGTGGTGAGACTGCGCTGGCTAACTGCTACATGTTGGTTTGCTTTTGTTACCGCCTTACTTCTTTACTCAGCAGTGGTTTAAGAGAAAGGACTCATAGGCAACCCAGTTTCTTTGATAACCTCAGTTGCTCACCTGCAAAATGGAAATGGGAATAGTAGTTCCTCCAGGAGTTATGAGGACTAGAACACAGAATGAGTCTAGTGTTTGCCACAGGATGGTGGTAATAGTCCATGAACATCAGTCAGGACAAGTATTGCAGATTAATGTTGTTTTAATCTTCAGTTAAATGCATTTTTAATGAATACAAGCAAGTGCATGAAGTAGTCCTTTTGTGCAGATTGGGCAGATGAAAATCACCTAAACCCCAGTTTAAAATGTGCCTGAACAACCTGTAGTGTCAGCCTCTACTGAAAACAGCAGCAGCACAAAAATGGATGATAGCAAAGAGGCATTTTCATGGTAGGAAAGTTACAGGACAGTGGATGATGGGAGAAGGCAATTTTCTGGGAGCAAATACCACGCCTCCCCCCAAGAGTCTTCAGTGGGTTCAGTTGCATACCAATAGGTAAATGAAAATAAAAACTTCTGGGGTGCCTGGCCTTCTTTGAAAATAGGAACCCCGCCAGCCCCAGGGCATATCCCCAGGGCATATCGCCACACCAAGAATCAGTAACGAAGACAACATCAGTTCTTCTCAAACAGTTTAATAGCAAATAAACAAAGGAAGGTACCACACTTGGCAGATACAAAATGACTTTTTGTCCGTGTGTCTGTGCAATTAAAACAGATTTAGGTTCCCCATTGGGACAAAAGGAAAAACACACAAAAAAAAGGAAAGAGATTCCTTTTAAACACATACTCCCTTGCTCCAAACTTGTAACATTTTTTATTTTTTTTTTCATTTTAATCCACTACACAAACTCTGTGATCAGGTCAGAAAAGCGACAAGGGCTCTTCTTGCCTTTTTTTTTTAAACCATTAAAGTAAAATCCATAATTTTCTACATAGTACAACACAAGTTCACACAAAAAAGACATTTTCTTTTGCAAATCAAAACAGGAAAGAAAGGAAAAGCTCAAACAAGGTAAAGGAAAAGCATTTCTACGGCTGAATCACGACTTTGAGTTGATTGAATCCCGTTGTTGCTGCAGAACAGACTGTGCGTTTGGTCATAGTGGCAATTTTTTCTCTTCACATTGTGAAATCACTTTACATTGTTTTCTAGTAGAAAAGGCAAAAAACTGTACAAAACCCCTAGTGTTAAATACAACGTTTGTACCAATAAAAAACTCACACAGGTTTGTCTCCAAAATGTAAAGTTTCTTTTTTTTTTTTCTTTTTAAATTATTCACAAAAAGCAGCTGGAAATCAGAAAGGCAGCTGCCGCTCCAGGGCCTCAAATCCATTAAAACCACCACAGAACAATTAAAACAATCAGAGAGAGAAAAGGAAAAGGAGACAGCGTCCAACGTTTGGCATTTGGTTTTATCCACAGGTTTTCCCAGAGCTCCTCTTGGAATTGAAAGCAAAATATATTGGCAAACACGAATTCTGAATACACAGGAAGGGAGCCTTGGCGCCTTCTGCCAACAGAGGCGGCTCTGTGCAGTCAGACTGTGGGGTGCACAGCAGTCTCGCTCAGGCTGGGGCTCCTGGCCTCTCTCCATCCAATCACCCCTTCCAGGAGATTAAGCAGCCTACCATACACTGGGCCTCCATCTGGCCGCCCTTTCCTCCTAGCATGAGTGGCCTCCGCGTAGTACTAAGCAACCCACTGGGGCCCAGCGCACGCTCTGGTGGGGCGCCTTCTCCAAGCCCAGCAAGGGTGATGCTAACAGTGCTTCTACCTTCCCCACCCCTCCCCTAGGCCCTCGGCTCCGCCCCCGCTCCGCCTCTCCCAGGACTTCCTACTTCCCGCGTCCCACCAGTCAGCAGCTTAGGTCTGGGTGGGATCAGTCACAAGCTCCTCCCTCTGCAACCTCTTACCTCCAAAGATCGGTCCTGTGACCTCTCATCCCTGCTGGCCTCTCGCTGCACCATTCACATTCTTACTCAAGTCCCTCAGACCCTGAGGCTGGGTGGTGCCACAGAGAGGAGGACAAGTTCCCCTCAGGAAACCAAGGAACAGGCTGGCCTGGCACCCAGGGACAGTAGCTATTTGGCTCTTCACCCAATTACAAAAAGATACAATCCCTGCCCTTGCCCCACCCCACTAGCTAAGCAAGAGCCGAACTGTGGTGAAGAGCCGTGTGGGGTGGCTGGCTCCCAGGGCTGTAAACAGTGTGAAGACTGTGGTATTGTGCTTGTCACCTAGGAAAGGTGGTGGCAGGTGGGCTGCTTAGTGCACAGATGGCCTCCTCTAAAGTGGTTTCGAGCACCCTCCTTCTTCCAGGCCAAGGGGAGCTCATTACCCCTAATGCGCTAAGCTTCTCTCCCACCCCCAGCCACCTCTGAGTCGTCCTATCTCTGCTCCTCCAGCCTCTCCAGGCCCTCTGCCCACCATCTCTGAGCAGAGCAGCCGGCCTCCTTAGAGGCCCTGCAGGGCCTGGAGGCCACAGGAGGTGACAGTCTAAGTGCACAGGCTAACGCTCTACAGGCAAGAGAGGAGAAAGTTGCCACTTCAAAATAAAACAGTACAATCTTGAAAAAAACAACCCCACAACAATTTAAAACAGCTTCTTTGAAACCCTTTTAAATCGATCAGTTTTTGCACAAACTATAGAAAACAGAGAGGTGAAGGTGATATATATATATATATATTATAGAGATATATATACGAAGGTGTGAAGAAACAGCAGGAAACATGCAAAACTTGTTTTTTTCTGGGCATAATCTTAGTAGGAAAGGAAAAAATTCAACACAAAAACAATACAAAAACAAAAAAAAATCAAAGCATCACATTTTGCTGTGGAGACTGTAGGAACAAGCATGGAGGAGGGCATGGAGGGGCTGAGGGGTGGGAACAAGGGGATCTGAGGGCTCCCCTCGGGTCACTACAGGGAGGAACCACAAAAGAAAAAGGGCCGGGGCTCAAGCTGCAGCCTACAGTCAAAAAGGAAGAGGTTCAGGTGTTTGCTGCAGCTGAGAACTCAGAACAACAAAAATAAGAACACATGCGGTCTCCTCGAGCCCCAAAACTGTATCAGCAAAACGTGCTCAGGAGCCCCCAAGGTTTTAGCGACATCTTTTATTTCATTGTTTACTTCAAAGTTGTCTTGAAAACTAAGCACACAGAAACGAAGCCTAGAAACGGACTGGCTGTGTGTTCACAGAAATACAAACACCACACGGTATGTGCTAGTAGGGCTGCTCTGAAGACAATTACAAAGAATTGGAATCACAAAATCAAGTGGTTATCTTATGAAGTTCTAGAAAAATAGATTTTTTTATATTCAAATGCAAGTTTAAATATTTCCCCTTCAGCAGTCGTTCTAGCAAAACCAATTTGGCAGCACAAAAGAAAAAAAAAAGGAAAGAAAAAAGAAAAAACAAAGAAAGAAACAAACATAATAAAAATACACATCAGCATCAAAGGTGAACACAAGGTCAAAGGTGAGAGTTCAAGCATCAGAGAAGCTGAAGAGACAGGGATTTGGACGATGTACTTGACGCCACATCGACATGCTTTAGGCACAACGATGAACAAACGGCAGGAATCTAGAAAAAAAAACAAACCAGAAAGAGGGAGACCCACTGAGTTACACAGAGCAATACATCCAAACAGAGAGAGAGAACAGGAACACTCACTGTGTACAGCCCTGAAATGAGGAGGCGGGCGGGGCAGGGGCTGGGTGATGACAGGGAACTTTTGCACATGCTAACAATGGACACAGGGAAAAGTCAAAAAGGACATGGAGGACACCAAGAAAACATCCAACTGCCAGAGACAAGGGAACCTAAGGCTTGGATTTCCCCCGAAGCCTGACCTTGGCTGAGAAGGTCTCCAGTGGAGCAGAGCCTCAGGCTGTCCCTCAACCCCTGGTCAAGATGCAGGGAGAGTGCAGCAGATGCTGCCTGGGCGTCAGTAGAACTCTTTAGTGGACAGGGCCAGGATTTCTGGGGATGGCCCTTTGCTCCCAGAAATCCAAGCTCTTAGCTTCCATGCAGACCCTGGCCACTCGTGTGGAACCCAGGATATAGTGTCTGGCTGCATTCAAGGCAAATCGATTTCATGATGAAATCCAAGGAAAACAAAAACTACAGCAGAAAACACATTTATGTAAGTGAAACCCCCACACAACAGAAAAGGATTGCTTAAGGTTTGACTGCTAGTCTCCACTCTCCGAGCTGAACCCTTTCACATGTGAGACTTGTCGGGGAGCAGCGTCTTCACAAAACCATCTTTGGCCTGGGGAGAGAACTGTGCTCAAGGGCAGTGCCGCTGCGCTAGCTCACTGGGCAGGGAGAGAAGAGAACAGAGAAGTGCATGCTCTCGGCTGCTGGCCGCTCTGGGAGCCAGGGCCCTGCTTCGGCCCACTCTCCCTTTAGAAAGAGGACCCATAGCACACAGGACACCTCAGGGTCTGGTAGCAAAGTGAGTTGATCACACCTTTGCCTTTCATGCCATGTGGAAAGGGGTTTCGTAAGGACCCAGAGCCCAGGACACATCTGTGGATAAACAACAGGGATAATGGGGGAGGGGGAGCGAAAAGGGCCCAAGGAGGGACAGAGTAGAGTTCTGGGCTCAGGAGACCCCATGATGGCCAAGGAGGAAGACAGAACAGAAGGTCAATCATCAGAGCACCGCAGCACCCCAGGGAGCACAGCTCTCTCCTCTGCCAGTTCACAGCATTAACTCCTCCCCCTCTGGCAGATTAGCTGGGCTGCAAATGGGCCACAGAAAGTCAGTAGTTTCAATCATACACAGCACCCTGTGTGTACAACAATCACATTCTGGATTCTACAAAATCCTGGCCTTTTCCAGAGATATAATTTAGGTAATAAATATTCTCCACCCCGGAGCTGTATAAAACTTCTATAAAAATAGAAACGACATTCTTGGTTCCAGCTGGTTGGGATTCAGAACAGCGCCTCCCCAACCTAGCATTTTTTTTCTTTTTTTGTTTTCTTTTTTTCTTTTTATTTATTTTTATTTTTTTGCATTTATTTAAAAAATTCCATCATGACCCTGGAAGCCTTTGGAACAGTTTTATCCTTGAAACACAGGACACATTTCTCCCAGTGCGCAGAATTCAAGTTTACGTGGTTCAGCTTAAGAAGTATGTATGTTTCGTGTTTCTTAAGAGGACAACAGACCCAAGTTACCACTGTGAGAAGGGAACAGCTGTCCCAGTTTCAATGGGATAATCCAACACCACCTGCTTGTCACCCAAGACAGTCAATCCCTGCTTGTCACCCAAATGGACAACATGACAAGGAACGAGGCCCCTCTGACGTAATAGCAAACCAACCCCTTAAATCTCATCTCTGCTGCAAGGGGTCAGGACTGATGTATGGGGTTTAAGATCCCAGACACCCAGCCCTGGCCTTGGTGAAGTCATATCCTGAGAGTGTTGGCCTATCGGGTGCACAGTCCCAACAGCCGAGCTCCCTGGCTGATGCCCCCAGTGTTTCTTGGAGCAGAGGCAGAGCCCAGAGGTTGTGTGGGTCACAGGCAGGAGGTGGAGTGAGACCTGTGGGAGGCAGCAGGGAGCTGACTGTAAGCACGAGGACAAAAATGAACACGGTAATACTGAGGTAAATGAACACTAAACCCATATGGAGGCTGTAAACATCCTTTCATCTCCTCTGTCCCCAAGAGCAGAAAAAGAGGCTGCAGTGGAGCTGAAGTGGTTAGAAAAGGGGCCTGCCTTAGAGGGAAAACTATGTCTGGAATACCTCAGCTAGGCAACAAGTGTGGATTTCTTAGTCCTTTTGAGTATTAAGTGCTGGTCACTGGCAAATATAGCATTGTGGCAGAGGGGCATCTGATCAGGTAAGCCAAGAAGCAGGCTCTTCCTCCCCCCAACTCCTCCGCCCAATTCAATGGCTTTTGATCGCTCTGCTCAGGAGAGAGGCCACTTCAGCCAGACGCCACTCAGATGTACCCTCATAAGAAAACTGTGAGCTTGGCAGTGATGCGCTCTGCTGTCTGATGGTCAACTACATCTTCCCTATAGGCCTTTTCCCAAGGGACCTGGTAGAAATGAGCCATGGTCTAATAATTTGGTGGTGAAATATATCAGAAAGGACTACTTTGACCAGTCGGACAAGGCCAACTCAAACCAACGGCTAGCTAAGAAAACAGGTAATGGGTGATGGCTCCCTACTGTTGGCATATGCCAGGCTAATTTAACAGGTGCTTCATTTCCAAGAATTGTTAACCCCTTATTCTTGCAAAAGGGACAGAAATCCTTGACAAGAATCTGAAAACCAGGAGGCAAGAATTCATTATCTCCACCTAGAAGGCAACAATGGAGAAGTCTCAGCCTTCGCCTCCCAGGGCCACTGGAGTCAGCCACTCACTCCTCCAAAGCCAACCCCGTCACTCTGCCCCCAGCGCCTGCACATCAGTTCTCCTTTCACCACTCTCTGAGTAGGTGGTTCTGAGAGCATTTTCGGTTTCATTCGGTCCTCTCTCTTGGATAGTTTGGGGCAAGTCTGATCTTTTTAAATGCTTCTCCACTCTCCCTCTACCCCCAGGGCAGTTTGATGTTGGTCCTTCTCAACACATACTGGTTACAAACACAGCAAACTTTAAATAAAGAGGGGGAAAAAAAAAACAACTCAGGATATGGCACCTAAACTCCAAAGTAAAACACTGGAAACCAAAGCACAAACTCGTCCTCTGTACGAAGCGAAACTCCCACAGAAGGCAGAGCCGAGTCTTCAGGGCAAGCTGTGCCTGCGAGAGTGGCAGGGATCAGGGTCCGGGGCTGTCAACACACAGCTTTAGGACTTCGAATCACTAAGGGTGCTCCTCCCCCACTTACCAGAAGACCCTCTCACTCCAGTCTCAGAGGGGAGCACGCTCAGTAGGGTTTGCTGTCATTCTTCGAACGTTTGAGCTGCACTTTAAGCCGCTTCATGCCAATCTGAAAGCCATTCATGGACTGGATGGCAGCTTGCGCCGAAACAGGATTGTCGTAACTTACGAAACCTGTGATCCAAGCAGAAACCTAGGTGAGGGACATAACCAGGCAAGGTGATTCTCAGTCCTCCTCAAGCAGAAGATACTTTTATGAACTTAAGCCTAAAAATCCCAATTTTTCTCAGAACAGATAAGAATTCTGGAAATCCTATCACATGAAATAAATTATGTTCTACTTTATGTTTACCTTTGGGGCCACAGAACAGACATCATCATCCCTTCTACAGAAATGAAATTGCTGAGGCTCACAGAGGTCATGTAATCTGCTCAAGGCAGCATTAGACAGCAACCCAAACTCAAACCCATCTCTTCCAGCTATCAGCCCCTTCTCTCTCAGTGGTGAGGTACTTAACCCGTATCCCCATGCCAGCACACCAGCACAGAAGCCATCATACCAAAACACTTGCTCAGGTTTGTCTGCTTGTCTATAAAAACCTTGGCGGACACGACATTCCCAAAGGGCATAAACATCTGCAGCAGGTCCTGATCTCCAAACTCCTGGGGCAGGTGGTAGATGAACAGGTTCGCTCCCTCTGGACCTTCAAAATACCCATCAATTGACAAAGTATCAGTGTCAAGCACACTCACCCCGACACCACTCTCATTTCTACCCGTGTTCAAACTGTCAGCTTCCCAACAGATTCATGGGGAGAACGACAGTGTCTCCAAATATGAAGTAGAGAAGTTAAAGACCATTACTGAAACAGATTCCTTCCTCCATCAGCCTTCTTCTCCTCTCAGTGAAGGTCATTAGAATTTGACCTTGTGATCGGGGGTCTACCGGGGCGCTAAAATAGGCAGCCTTGCATGTGGAAGCAAAAAAGTCAGGCTAGTGGCTTAGAGAGGAACACGCACAGGTCTCCCAATTGTGCCTAGGAATTACCAGCAGGTAAGACTGGCAGTTACCAAGGCAGGAGGCAGGGGCAAGGAACCACCACAAAGGTGAGCGGACACTTTCTGGGGCTACGCGAATGCTCTTCCAGCTGTGGTGAACATGACTGACAGTGTTTGTCAAAGCTCACAGAACTGATTTCAAATAGGGCGAATTTTATCTTATGTAAATTGTGTTTGGTGAAAATTTTTATTTAAAAAAAAATGCCTATGATGAATACTGAGCTCAAAAATAGAACATGTTTTCCTTTCCAACCACTTACACAAAAGGACAGAGTTTTACTACAACTGCAATCCGGCCGTTGCCCAATCACCCGTGACCCTCCTCTGCTGCCAAGCGCACTAGGGGACACTGCTGCCTCAGGACCCTTGCACTTGTCATTCCTCTGCCTCCATCCCTCTATTTCCTCTAGTCATATCAGCGATACACCTGGCCCGCCTCCTTCCTTCCAGTGTCTGCTTAACAGTAACTAGAGACTATGCTACATAAAATGCTGTGACTCGAGCACACCCTATTTTTTCCTCTTCACTGTTCTTCAAAGCATCATCCAGAACACCTCACATTTTTACCTGCTTATTGCATGCTGCCACAGTTCCATCCACCCCCCACTATTGTATCCAAATGCACAAACACACCTCATTTAGAGCGGGTGAGGATGCACTAGACCACAATTCTCCAGTGCAATGGCAAGGGAGACTTGTCTTTTCTCCACACTAGTGGCTTACACCTTTGTCAGCTCCTGATCATACAAATCTACTCAAATGTGAACACGAAAGTATCAGCAGAACTTTGTAATTCCTACAAACCACCTCAGGCCCCTCTGCCTGGAAATCCTGTTCTGAAAGCATTATCATTTATGTCAAAACACACGCTTCCCGCTGCATCAGCCATAGGAATAACTCTCTCCATCTCATCTCCCTTTACTCTATCCTCAAGAAGGAAAGGTACAGATCAGAAAGTGGAGTAAATCACAAAGGACAGAGCTTAAAGGGAGACCTAGGCAGAAGATGTCCTCTAACAGACGTACAATCCAGAGAAAAATTCCTAACAGAAACAAATCGTCAAATGGCACCTGACAGAGATCAGCATGTTTCTTTACCTAAAACCACAGCCCCAACTGAAGGTAACATACCGGTTCTGAATTGAGCCATATCCAGAAAATATGCCAAAAGTAGATCACAATTTGCAGAATTAAAAAAAAGAGAGAGAGAAGAAAAGAAAGTGTTGGTCTAACCACCTAAATGTTCTCTTAGCTTCTCTCCGCCTTTGGCTCTGGCGCATATACAGTCGGGAGTGCCTATCCCTGCCCCCGACTCCCACTGCATTCACCTTCCTTCTGGCTTCCAGCTGCACCAATACTCTGCTGTGTCAAAAGATTCTGGTTGTATAAAGTGGGGAGCGCTGCAGCAGCATATTGCTGGATCCCGGAGTAGGCCTGCGTGAGTGCTTCCATGGTGCTCCCGGTGCCATTGGAGAGGCCGCTGCTGCCGAGGCCCCCATTTAAAGCAGCCATCCCTTGGGTGAGGGCAAGAACAGGGTCAACACATTAGAAAGACTCCATTTAGGGACAAGTGGAAAAGGGGAGATACAAAGATTTCCCTTCTAGTGTCTGAAGAGAAACACACATCTGACTGGTCAGATTTCAGGGCACCTGCCAGCCCGGCTGCTAATGAGGATACTGCAAAGTGCCACATTTAGGTATGGTTCTCAGTCCCTTCTCCCAAGCTGTGCCAGTGACATCATGTACAGATGACGCTCCACTTCCTCACACAGAGGTGGAGTGTACTTACTACAGTCTCGCAGAACTGGGGACTAACAATGAAGCATGCAGCCTATGAAAAGATGTGAACAAACCCCACCGCCAAACAGCAGCTAACACTGTGCATTCTATATGCCAGACACTGTCCCAGGCAATGTGCTCAGCATATAGTCTATGTTCTTATTTAGCTTCTTAATAACCCTCAAAGCATTCTATTTCTACATCATAAATGAGAAAATGACTTTAGAAAGACAGCTGCAAATTGCAGCTAGTTTAAGGGCAGGGTTATTTACAATGTACCATGGCACAAAGAATGGCTTGATGACACCCAGAATCGGCCCCTCACCTGCCAAAGAGCTCACGTTGAGGCCTGCTGTTGCTCCAGCCAGGGTCTGCAGGGCTCCAAGGGAGGCGATGGGGTTGACAGAGCTGCTGCTGCTAGAGCTCGGTGAAGACCCTGCTGTCAAAAAGTTATGAATTATAAACTCAAGCCAATAGGCACCTGCTTGTACCAACAGGATTCAGGCACAAGAATGATACTATTCTGGGCCTTCCTGGTGGTACAAGGGGTTAAAGTGCAGTATTATGAAGCTATCCACAGATACAACAATATGAGTTCGATCCCTGGCCAAGGAGGTGACCCAGCAGACGGCTCCTGTCCTGCCCACTACTCCCCTCAGCAGTATGTTTCAGTAGATCCGCCTATTCTGCTCCCTACTGTTTCTGGTGAATCCTCTCACACCGTGCCCTTCTGGCCTGTACCTGGTTCTTGTATGCATAAGTAATAAATAAATCTTCTTTAAAAAGTGATACTATTCAAGTATTTTCTTCCTAAAAGAGGCTTTCACCGACTAATTTCAATAAGTGTCCCTGTGAGACAGAGTCAAATGATGGCTTCGACAAAATAAAAATGATGAAATTTCTCTAAGTCAGATGGTAACATTTGAAAATGAGTTGTTCACGACCTGACCCTTTTGAAAATGAATGTTCAGTACTTTCCGGGACGACAAACACCTGGATTCTATCCCAGGTACACAGGGTATACTGGTCCCAAGCAAGTGCTTACCTGAACTGGTGAGCACGCTGAGGGGACTGCTGGATGTAGTGAGGGCACTGGTACCGCTGGGTGTGCTCTGAGCTGCGCTGGCTGCGGCAGCCAGCGCGGCCAAATTCTGCAACTGCATCGCATTTAACCCTGCAACATCCAAAGCAAGAGATCAGCTAGCAGGTAAGGGTGCGCGTATCTGCTCCAGTAATGACACTGCACACTGGCAGGAGGCTGGTACCAGAAAAAGAGGAATTGTGCTCGATAAGCTTTATAAGCAATATTACAGAACTCCAGTATGATTCAGATATCACTGAATTCATTAAGAAACCTCACATCATTTCCTCAAGAAGATGCCTAAGGCTACCCCAAGTGAGAAGTATTAAAGGGAGGAGCAATTAGAAAACGAAAAAAGAAGGTAAACTGATGATCCAGCCTGGGGACAAGGGGACTAAGAGAAAAACAGAGCCAAATCCTGAGGCACAGAAGGCCTTCATCTGAGACCTTACCGATACTCTGAAAAGCAGCTGTTCTTTGAAATGGAAGCAAATGAGCAGAGATTCAGAAAGCCAAGGCAGGAATAACTGGGGGGAAGGTATGTGAGAGCAGCAATAGGATACAGAATAAAGAGTAAAGGAAAACCACTACTTGAATAGCAGATTAATCATCAGGAGAGAAAAAAACTCTAATAGGGAAAAAAAAAAAAAGTTCCAAGTACAACTAGGCAACACTGTTCAAAAGAGAGCAAGAAATTTGAACCACACTGATACTGTGTTGCAAGCCATTTACCAGATGATGGAAAGACAGATGGATTGGGGAGGAGAGCTATGAGAATAAAAACAACACAGATTTCAATCTAGCAATTTTTAAAAAATCATAGCAAACTCTATGTCTCTGGGACAATATGAACCAGTATTAAAATTTCTCCAACAGCAAACTGTAATTCATCTAACGCGGCCCCTTTCTTAAAGGCACCTGTCTGTCTATTTAGCCCATCCTAAGCAGGGGAAAGACTGGCATTTCTGAGCTGCTCTACACCCTAATCCCCCCCCCAATCTTCTGATGACCTCTGCCTCAGGTTTCCTGTGGAACCCTAAAAACTCAGGAATCAGTCAATTAAGTTTCCTAAAAGTTAATGGCAACAAAAGATAATAAACATAATAACATACATAAGAAGGAGGTAAACTAACACAGTCTGGGTTCTAGCAGCTTCAGAGCAAGTCATTTGCATGGACGTCATCCTAGGTTTTTTTCTCGAGTCACTAAAACAGTCTAATTAATTCTCTCTCTATAAAAATGACTGCAGAGAATTCATAGGTGCTAATAGTTCTTTTCTATCTTCTTCCTCAATTGAGACTTAAAGGGGCAGAAAGCAGTGAACTCAGAGCAACTATCAAACCACTGACAGAGCCACCTTCCAGAAACAAAACAGGTGATAAGAATGGGGATTCTTCCATCAGGTTATATAATGAGTGAGGAATTTTCTTTCTGCATCAGCGGTGCAGAGCTCTCAGGCTGCTGTCAGCTGGGTCTGTTGGCCTGGCGGCTGCTGCTGCGCCGCGGCAGTGAAACACTTACCTCCCATTGGGTGGAGGCTGCTCAGGGTGTTGAGGTTCCCAGAGGAGGCAGTCTGCTGAAGGAGCTGCAAATAAAGCTAGACATTACACCAAAAAACAGAACAAGAGTGAGAGTGAGGGCTGGTTCTGCATCTGGGATAACTCTACAGCACAGCAAAGCGAGAGTGCAGAGGACCCCAGAGAGAAGAAAGTTGAAGACAAGATCCCAAGCCAGCACAACAGAAACATGAAGCTTTTAACAGCAAAGGACAAGACAACACAGCTGAAGGCCCGGCCCTGAAGTCAGGTTCGCTGAGTACTGCACCAAGCTCAAGTCGCTGCGCAGCAGAATGCAGCACAACAGAGGGCAGAATCAGTGCAGGAAACTAAGCTCAAATCAGGCAAAGATGCAGTCGACTGTGATGTGTGTCTGCATGTGACAAATGTATCTAGGTCTTTTCTCCCAGGTCTCCTTAGGTGGACCCACGCATTTTATTTTGTGGGTTGTTTCCATCCAGACATTCATATATTATTCATATATTATTTTAAATGTTAAATCTGACCATTTCAGGGTATTTCTTGGAGTCATGCTAGGTTGGTCATAAGTGACCCATGACTAGATCGGTCAATCTCATACTACCATGTATCTCCTCCCCTCCAAACTGATCTTCACTGATGCACGTGACCCAATGATTGATGGATCAGTTCAATGGACAGTGTCACTCAATAGCTGTCCCACAAACAAAATACAAGGATCTGTCTGTGAGCTCACTGATCCCTGTGAACATTACCTTAGCAAACTAAAACCTTCATCTAAATAACCTGCTGAAAATGTTACTCTATTCTAACACAACCTGTTGCCCATTCCCAAAAATATCTAACCTAGCTTCTCTGTCGTTGTCATAATCCATATGGTTTCCAGTGGTTTTCAAACCTTCATAAGTGAAAGAAAAAATGCACAAGCACCCAGTTTTAACCAGCTTTTCAGTGGAATCCACAACTCTACAGAGATTAAGAACCTCTGCTCCAGTGCAGTAGAGACCAGGCTCAAATGCCTGTACTTCACAAAGAACCTCATAATTGATGATGTGCTACCACTTATCCAGTCCACTAATGCCTACCTGTCTTTGTCACCGGAAGTCCCTTGAGAATGAGTTCAGCCCCAACTGTAGGCTGAATATACTGTACTTGGCACCTTCATTTCCTCTTTAAAGGAGAACAACTCTTAGGGCTGGGGGCCAAGTCTAACAAAAACAGACACCACAGCTCCCACATGTACCACCAAGTAAATGCTGCCTATGTCACTGACAAGAGAAAGCGAGGTTTACCCCAACGAAAGGAAACAAGACTCTTTAAGAAGAGCAAATGCTGGCCCTCCCTGGTTGTACAACAGGTTAAAGCACAATACTATGAAGCTATTGCAGCTACTACAGCAGGAGTTGGATCCCCACCAGGGAGCTGACCCACATGGCACAGTAGACCTCTCCTGACCCGCCCACTGCTCCCCTCAGCAGTGTATTTCAGTCAATCTGCCTGTTCTGCTCCCCACTCTGTTTCTGGTGAATCCTCTCACCCTCTGCACCTCGGGCTTATACTCCAGTTCTGTATGTATAAATAAATAAATAATAAATAAATCTTAAAAGAAAAACAAATGTACATCATGGAGATCACATTCAAAGCATTATCATTGTGGCAGGAGACTGCAAACTAATTTTCTGAACTTACAATGTCCTAGCACTAGAAACAATTAAATGTGTTAAAATACAACATTCATCTATACTTTTTTACTTTAGAGAAATAATGATGTGCCATCACAGTGACATGATCTAACATTTCAGAAATCATATTAACCAGGGGAGCATTAAATTAACCAAAACTCAGTACCAGGACACAGAAAACAATACCTTTCTTCTATTTCTATATAAAATAAAATGTTAAATGGTGTGGGGTGAATGACTCCTCAGAATTATTCTTATGTGTGCATTTTTTGATTATCCATACAAATCTCATGGTGTCACCCTTTAGTTTCCTTCACTGGTAACTTCATAGATGCAACAGCCTTAAACGCCTTGTGCTGTCTGAAATTCTTTTAAGGATTAAAGCAATAATGCACCCTGTATTATATACTGTAGACTTAGTTAATCTAAATAAAAAATTAGAGCCTGTCCCTCTTTGGACTGTATGACTAAAGCACATGGGGAGAGATCAAATTAAAGGACTCTTTATTACGATGTCGTAAACTCAAATATACACCTGCAATACTCAATTTAATGATACTCATGTTAATCTTTAGATGTCTCAGGCAGCAGGAAAAAACATACTCTTCAGTACAGATTTTAATGATGTCCTCTGTGTCTGGTAGAAAGATATATGGAGAAAGCTAGTAGTAGTAAGAATCCTTCAGCATTTTTTTCACCTAGGGGCAGGGATATGGGAGGTGTTTCTAAATGTCTTTTATCGGGAATTAGAATTTCACTCTAATTGTAGCTGAGGTCTCAAGATATAAACAAAGATGGGGGGGACACTAACCTGAATGGAAGAATACTTCATTGTCTTAATTTTTATGTGAAATTTCAATATGCCAAAGTTGTAAATGCCATTGTGTTTGTTAGCTAGGGACAGCAGAAAAAGAAACAGCTGGGAGCTTGCACAGTCTGCAGAAAGCAAACCACAAAGACTCACTGCTAAATACTGGGGTCCAAGAGTATTTAGACCAGCAAGGTTTCCCCACACAGATGCTGCGCTGATTTGCTGCATCTGCTGTTGGAGCTGCTGGGCCATTCTCTTCTGTTCTTTGTCCTTCTGCGTATCAGCAAATTTTACCACCATGGGGGACGAGCAACCCTATGAAAACACCAAAACCAAAGGGTCAAATGCATCCTTCTGGGTGAAGAAAAATACTCCTTTCTGGTGATATGCAGGTAGCACTGTCATTTTATTCAATGCCAAAGGACTCTCTCTTCCTGACAGAAATCAGTGTCAAGAGACAACTGAAAAGGACAACTACTTCCCAAAGGTTAACATTAAACATTTTAACTTTAAGATGTCTAGACTGCTTAGCTTTCAGGCCAATTAGAAATAAGCCTGCTGCTGAACTTCGGGGAACTGTCCTAGCATTCTCTGATGAAGGGACTCCCCCCTTCAGTCATCTGCTCCCACCTCCATGGTCTGTGCTTGGTGCATTGCCTTGATAGCCGTCTGTGCCATGGCTCTTGTCGTGAAGGTCACGAACGCACAACCTGGTAAGAGAGAAGTCAGTAACTCATTTGATTTGTTTGCTCATTTATCTACTGGACATTTACTGAGGACCTATGTGCCAATTAGCATGCTAGCAATACAGACACAGATTCTGCCTTCATGGTTCAGGAGCTAGTAGATGAGACAGACATGTTACAACAGATGATAAGGGATTTAATTAAAAAACAGAGCAGCACAAACAGAAAATAAAGAACTTGAAGGATAAAGGAGAAAGCATATTTTTTAGTGTTTCCATTTGGGCATCAAGTACCTCTCCAGCACAAAAAAAGACAATTTCAACTTGAGATAAAGAAATGCAGACTCTTTAGTGGAGCTGGGAGAATACTAAAGGGGTCAGCTGGTAGCAGCAGTTGTGACAGGATGTAGATACACAACGCCATACCCAATCTCTCAATGACTGGCCCATGGGGACTAATAAACACTGGTCCTCACTAGTCAAATTAAAGAGACTCCAGGGCTTTCCCTGATGGCAGAGTAAAGTCTCAGTACTGTCGCCAGCTACTGTGGCATGAGTTCGGTACTGAGACATAGAGCTAATCCATGTGGTGCAGCAGACCTCTCCTGTCTCACCTGCTGCTCCACTCAGCAGTATTTCAGTGGATCCACCTGTTATGCTTACCACTCTCTCTGGTGAATCCTCTCACCCACTGCACTCTGGCCTACACCCAGTTCTTAAATGAATAAATAAATTTTAAAAATCTCAAAATAAAAAACAAAAAGAGACTCCAAGTTTAAGACAGGTATTTAAAAAAAAAGAGAGAGAGATTCCAAATTTAAGACAGGTATCTTTAAAGATTAAAAATGTATATACCTGGGCCTTCCCTGGTGGCACAGTGGGTTGAAACACAGCACTAAGAAGCTATAGTCACGTCAGCACTTCGAACCCCACCCCGGAGCTGACCCACATGGCGCAGCAGACCTCTCCTGACCACCTGCTGCTCCCCTCAGCAGTGTGCTTCGTCAGTCGGCCTGTTCTGCTCCCCACTCTGTCTCTGGTGAAGCCTCTCACCTCCCCTGCACCTCTGGCCTATACCCCAGTTCTGTATGCATAAATAAATAAATCTTTAAAAAAAAAAAGTATATACCTCTGCTCAGGCCATCAGGTCCCCGCAATATCCGGCATTCTTCAATCTGTCCAAATGAAGAGAACATGACTCGGATGTCATTTTCAGTGCACTTCTTGGAAATCATACCAATAAACAGCTTCCTGTCTTCCACTGCTAAGAGAGTAAAACACAAAAGGCTTGACCATTACTATCACAAGCGTTAGTGTAGCAGACATTGTAAGTATACCACCTGCATCTGAATCCTGGATTTGTGCCTTTATACTTTATACTGTATTTTCATGGATTCTAGGATATATATTTTCTTCATAATATAGCCTCTCCTCTTTTAAGCAATGGTATTTTAAATTATAATTGGAAGCATATGGAATACATTTATGCATATATGGAAAAACGTAGTTTTTGTGTTCTTATGAAAGCTACTTAACTATTCTGTGCCTATTTTCTTATCTCATAAATCCCAGGTTACCTGGATTTACCTCTAAGGTAGTATAGTTATCAAGCGACTTACTTAGTATCATACTTATTAGCACTTTGTAATGTTGTTCTTTCCAACAATACTACTACAGAAATGAGGAGCTTTTATGATTGATATGAAAAAAGAAACAAACAGTTTTCAGAGAGTGTAACTATCCACTTTCTTTCTCTGACTATTCTGCTGAGGAGGAAGCTCTCTTTTGTAATATGCTGATTAAAACCCATCAAACCGGTTTAACCCGTTCAGAAGACATTATATTGATCAAAAACATACCCATTCACTCTAAAATGTTCTTGTAATGTTTCCCTATCAACCCTACCTCATTAACTATACTTATTTTAAAGAAAAGTACAATTAGATGATAGAATAGCACACCCAGATGTTAAAAGAAACCTTATGCAGAGGGCTTTATACACCTGCTTACCATTGTTCTTCTCACTGTCAGCAGGTTTCATCTGTATAGGATGATGCATCTGAAAAACACATAAATATTACCACTGCACAGATACATATTCAGCAATATAAATGAGAACTCCAAAGGAAATAACAAAATTAGAGTCAATATCTCTGAACTCGGTATGCCTTATGACCTCCCCTCCTCCAATGAACTATCAAAATAGAATCTAAGTCAAGATGTCAAAACTCACCCTGCAGAGAACTACTGTCAGCCTATCTTCCTGAAAATTCTCTATGTCCTCCTGTTACCAATGCTGTGGCAATCACCTTTTCCAGCAGGTGCCCAAAACATGCAGGTATGTTCCATATATTAAAACTCCCACAGTACCACTTACTTATAGGAGCTTTCTTACCCCTGGGAGGACCTTCATATTGTGAAGAGCATTCTGAGCATCTAATGCAGCTTTACGGGTGTAAAATGTAACAAAACAGCACCCTGCAACAAACAAAATTTCACCAAATCAAATCAGTCTTTGGAAAGCAGGCAAATTCTCTCCTCCACAGACATACCTGAACTTAAGAAAGGATTACTAAAATCAGTGAAGGGAGGGAAAAGGAGGTAGGGTTCAGAGAAGTGGGGAAAGGAGGGAGATACTGACACCACCCATGTTAGGAAAAAAACTCACATAACTTTCTCTACATTTTTTCCATTTTTAGAGACTCCAAATTCTATTAAAATTCTTCTCCACTGAGCCTATAACTTTTCCAGGAAAGATAACTTCTACAAAGGTCAAGGTGTCTTGCCTTTTACCCCAGGTAGAGTCCTGGGCAAGTGGACTCATATACGAACAGGACACACTCTGTCTTAGAATAAACCATTCCTTACACTTCAGTCAATTTCTACCATATGCCTCAAACATAAGTATAATTTGTTAAGTTATAAAATGATTTAAGAAAAACCTTTGTCTTTTTTTGAGAATCCTGGTTAGCAAATACAATTAAACTTCTTTTTTTTTTTAACATTTATTTATTTGTTTGTACAGAACTGGGGTACAGGCCAGAGATGCGGAGGGTGAGGATTCACCAGAGACAGAGTGGGGTACAGAACAGGCAGATCGATGAAGTACACTGCTGAGGGGAGCAGCAGGCGGGCCAGGAGAGGTCTGCCACACCATGTGGTCTCCTCCGGGGCAGGAGGGGGATCAAACTCATGCAGAAGTGGCTTAAGCTTCTTTGTGTTGTGCTTTAACCCGCTGCGCCACCAGGGAGGGCCACAATTAAACTTCTTTATAGCACAAAGCACAACAGACTGAGGAGATCTTGTGAAGATCTTTGTGCTTTGGTATCTTTAATAGGAATAGGAGGGAGAGTATGTCTTCTAAATCTTAGGTCCATGAGGTACTACATAAATTTCTTTCAGAATCATTCTGCAATTAATATTTTAAATTACTGGATGCCAGTTTTGGTTTTGTTGTTTTTGGGTGTTTGTTTTTTTTAAACAGCAATTATAATACTTTTAGTTTTGGGTTACACACCACAATGAAAATAATTCCTCTGCTTCTAAATCCCCCACTATTAAGCTGTTCCAGTCATAACTGTTCACGCAAAATTACTCTGAGATCAGTCATTTGGAAAACTGAGAGTACGTTTGTGCATGTATAGAGGCAAAGCTAATGGCTCAGCTACTATCAATGCTGTGAAACTGCCACTCTGCTGGTATTTCTAGAAGCAGCTCAGCCTTTCTTTCGTTCATTTTGTAAGCTATCACCCAAAAGGTTATCTACAAGCAAGTTCCCCCTAGGTGTTAAGCAATCTTGCAGGCCTCTATAACACTAGCATAAATCCAAGGACAGTGGACAGTCTTTCTCTTTCAGTTTACTCTAGCCAAAGCACTATAGAAAATTTTGTGGTTGGTTCATTTTAACTTTAACTTGGGCCATTCCATTCCCAAAGTCAAAAGAGATGTTCGCATGACCCTGACTCTTGAATTAAAAGAGTTTTACACAGGGACAGCCCAAGATCTGGTGTAATTTACAAATTACTCTCAAGATGCCACCTTAACTTTCAGTCACTAAATGTGTTCAGGTTTGAAGATAAAGCTACTATAAAATGACAGACACTACCCCCACCCTGCCCCACGTAGTCACAGGAGCCTTCTGATGAGACAACACATATACAGACTGACAAATGATACATAAACCCATCCTCACCTTTGCTCTGGGGAGGATTTTGGCTCCTATCCCTTAGGACGTTGATTTCATAGACAGCACCATACTGTTCAAAGAGTTCCCTCAAGTCCTTCTCAGACCAGGTTCTTGGAACCTGGCCCACAAACATCTTGATAGCATCAAGATCTGGTTGGTCTGGGTGGTCCAGAGTGCCGTTCATTTTCTTTGAGCTGCATGAGATAAAATAAAACTCAAATAATGCATTTGTGTTGCTTTCCAAAGGCTTTTTCTTTAAAGTTTTCAACTATTTTCCAGAAAAGAGAGTTTATGATGTGGGTGGGAGGGAGGATTCTCTCTCCATTCTATTTACAAGAGCTCCCAGGTCAGTGTACTCCCTCACCAAGGCCACCCCCCTCTTCCACTAGATTTGAAACTAAAGTCACACAGCCTAGGTTTTAACTAAGAAACTGAGTGTCATACATTGTCCAAAATGAGGACTCTAAGAACTTCAGACTGGATTATTTTTAGCTGTTTGTAAAATTTTCAAAAACAAACATAAAATCATAGAGGACCATTGATCATATTTAAGGTTCAGAACTCTCAATGTATATATAAAATAGGTAAAACCACACACGTGTGCGCGTGTGCACACACACGAGACAGCAGAACATAAGCACTTGATTTCCAAGACCAAGCTAAGAATTGACAAGAATGTTGGTTTTTTTTAAATTCTGGCTGTCTTCTGTGAAATCCTAATTGTCCCCCAGACCAAAACAAAATTTAACCTCTTAAATTTTCAAAAATGACTGCTACTGCACATAAAGAAGATACCTTCCTAGGTTGTTTTGTTTCTAACTCATTCAACTTTAGCGTTCATTCTCCAAGATTTCAAGTAGTGAATTATAACCATATAACATTCGCAAGTTCCTCCAATCCTATCACACCAAACTTGCAATGCTCCTATTTTACAATGCCTTCATTCCTACCCCTATCAAATGCTAAGTACCTAGAGGGATTCTAACATTGTGAATGTGTCTATTCAGAATGAATACAAGTCTTTATTCTGTCTACCACTATTTCAACATCTTCAGATCATGCTCAGCACATATCTAACCCATTAAGTCAGTCCCAGGAAACTAGCATATTAACTTTTCTGTTACATGTTTTGAGGTATAATCCAGAAATCACACCTTCACATTAAAAACTGACATGTTCAAACATTTAACCCTAAAAATGCTAGTTTTCTTTAAAGACAAAATAGTTTTTCCAAACTCTATGGGCAAACAGAGTTTGCAGGTTGCTGAGAATGCAAGGTGTATGAAAGTAGTTCAACCAATCTTGTAATTCGTAAATCTTTTGAAATTGAACATCTATAATATAAGGGATTATTTTCACATTCCTTTTGCTGAACCTACTACTAAATAAATATCAAAAGTTGTAAGACAAATGGCATATAGAGTAACTGTTATTACCTTCCAAGTTAACTGTCTGGATCAAAACTCAAACTGTCCTTATTACCCTCATTATAGTATTTACCGTCTTTCAGCAGAATCTGGACTTAGCTGGACTCAGTTCTCCCAACTAGACAGAAATGGTTTTATTTCCTATTTATCCTTGTAACGTAAATTAGCTTAATTATCATCAAAGTTAGTACTCAAAGATAGAATGAGAGGAAATTCTGGTTCTTAGCAAGTCCCCCTATTTATACAACTAATTATGATAAAAATAAATGCTGTACACTAAGTGGGTCCTCAAATTAAAGAGCTGCTACTGTCTCCTTGATTGCCACACAATCAATTTACCCTATTTTTGTTTTAAGTGTTTTGAAACATTGTTTTACCGATTTTCCTTTAACCTATTAAAACTATGAGGTTAAGTCACTGCAAAAATACACTAAAACTGCTTTTAGAAGTCTAATCCTATAGTTCTAAGCAGAAATCACACGACTATGAATAATAATAAAACCCTCACTACAGAAACAATACCAACAGCCTATCCTCAACAACTTTAATTACTTTCAAGTTTTAGTGTTAGTTTATTAAAATGTCTCTAATCTTTAATCTATTTCTATTCTAGGGAGGATTAATGCAACCCCAAACCTGTTCTGACCATGTGTTGCTGTTGATAAGGAAGCTGACAGCTATGTTTGAGATGCAGCAAGGGTTTAACTGTAATTGTATTACACTGGAGGCAAGTGCTCTCCCCTGCCCCTTCTATATTGGATGCCATTTCTAAACTGTCTATATCTTTCTTTAGTGCAAAAACATTAACACAGAATATACATGGATCATGGTTTATTCAAGAACTCAGTGGAGACTCAGCATCCCAGGCAAATGACCTTTCTCTCTCTCCTCTCTAAATCCATCTCGTTTCTTATGACCATCTGCTCCATAGCTACCTTTCTCCTGAGTATACAAATTCAATACCCAAGAAGAATCTCCTAGACCAGGGGCAATCTTCAAACCAGTCTTCAGCAAATTTTACAAGTAAACTGCAATTTTGTGTTCCATCTAATAATAATAAAATCCTCAAGGTCAAGCTTATATCTTTGTTCTTTTCTTACTAAATTGTTTGTATTGTACTTTACAAACTGGGGGCAAGGGTAGGTAGGAACAGGGTCCATCACCAGTTTGAGAAGCACTTTTAGAGCACAATTAGGCCAGGCCAGGCTCAAGCTGCTGTGAACAACATGCCCTCTGGACTTTGGCATGTTTATTCCCTTTCTCCATTAAATAGTGTGCACCTACTTGAACAGGCCAGGCACCTGATAGAAGTGGAATGCACTGGTAAGAAAAACACGGGATACTTCTTTAGAGTTCAAGAAGATGGAGTTAGAAATAAAAATTGCACTATCTACTGGAGATAATAAAGAGAAGCAACCACATGTACACCAATGTATATAATGAGGCATCACAAACATTCCTACTAGCACTGTATCTGAAGAGATGAACATCACCCTATCCTCAACCTTCCACACGTACCTTTAGTTCATACATTGTTCTCAAAAACAAGTGAAAAACTCATCACTTATTAAAAAGTAAACAGGGACAAGACTGCCAGTAAGCTATGCAAGGACCCACACTGGCCAGGTATGGCATTCACATATCACTAAAGACATTCTCATATGTGTGTTCACCTCTCCACTTGATGAGGGCTTCTCGGGGTCAGTAACCATGAATCATGTATTTGTTCCACCTAATCAAGAATCATCAATGAGTTTAGCAGCCCCCTGGATCAGTATCTATAGAGTCCCTGTCACTCCTAAGAGGCAAGTCTGTGGAAGTTCTTGTCTTTTGTAGAAGTAATGCCTGCCAGACAGCAGAAGCAATAATGGTAACAACTGGCAGTTCCTCCAGAACAAGCAGGACTAGAGTCTGCCTTGTCTTAATTCTCGGCAGAACAAACCACAGGAAATCAGAACAGGGAACCACTTAGGAAGAGAAACAGGGAGGAAACAATAAAAATTTATTTTCAAAGCACACATTTATTTAAAATTCTTAAACCCTCACTTCACAAAACTCAGCCCCAGGTCCAGCTAAGGGGGCAAGACTGATGCTCTGTCCCACTTCCTTCCCATCCCAAGACAAGGGGTGATTTCAACCCAACAACCTGATGCAAGCTAAGCCCATGACCTATGCTTAAAGCAGGCCTGGACACCCACAATCCTCTAAGGCTGCACCCTGTATTGAACTAGAAAGCAGCCACTAGCTGCATGTGGCATTTAAGTACAATTTTAAAAAACTAATTCCTCAGTCATATTAGTCACATGTGACTACTGGCTACTGCACAGGACAGCAGAGAGAAAGAATGTTTTTATCATTACAAAAAGTTCTACTGCACAATGCTGCCACAGAACCTGGAAATGGTTAGCAGAAACAGGCAGTGAAGTCACAAGTGGAAAAGTTGACACTATAGAGTTGCGTTGATAAGGTGAAAAGGGCAGTATGGCAACTGGTTGTAACAAGAGGCAGAAATAGGTAGGAATGACAGATTGGGGTAAGGAGAGGAGCCGGAACCCATAATTGCTAAAGGGCTCAGGATCCACTTTGGAGTGAATATATTCTGATGAAAATACTCTGCAACTGGTGATAGTAACTACACAACTTTGTAGGTACAGGAAAGAATTTTCAATTTTGTTTGCTAAAAAAGGTAAATTTGGGGCCTCCTGATGGCGTAGAAGTAGCAAGACAATACTATCAAAGCTACTGCCAGCCACTGAGGCTCAAGTTCTAGTCCAGGCCGGCCAAGGAGCTGGCTCACAGTATGCTGCTGGCTCAGCCTGTTCTGCTCCCCCTTCTGTCTCTGGGGAATCTTCTCACCACCCCCACCTCTGACCTGTACCCCAGTACTTATATGCATAAATAAACTTTTTCTTAAAAAAAGATCAATTTTATGTTATATGAATTACCTCTCAATTTGAGAGAGACATATAAGGGGTCACAATACAGCCGAAAAGGGAGGTGGCCAGGCAAAACCATGCTGTACCCAAAGGCATAAAGCAGATGTCAAGAAAGAAGGGAAGCACATGCAGAGAAACTGAAACATGAGTCCTGGGATCAGAAAGAAGGCAATTTTCAGGTCTAGCTATGGATCCCCTGACTACAATATAGCCCAGCTCACATGTGTCCTTACAAGAAAAGCATTTCATACATGCTAGTTTCGAGTGGGCCTCTGATTTCATGCAAACAAGTCAGCAAAAACTATTATCATCTGTTTAACACTCATTTTCATTTGATAGATAAAAAAGAGGTGGGGTAAATACACACAATGGAATAGCTACTTAGTTGTAAAGATGAAATCTTGACATTTACAGTAATATGGGTGGCCCTTGATGCTATTAGGCTAAGTGTTATATGATGTCACTCACATGTGGAATATAAAGCACCAAAGTAAACATACATACAAAACAAAACAAAACAAAACAAAACAAATTCTTTGATATAGGTTAGTAATTACCATAAGGAAAGGTAGTTGGGGTCTGTGTGTGTAAAACAGATTAAGTAAGTAAACTATATGGTAAGACTTAGTGGTGATCATGATGTAGTGTACAAAGATGTCAAATCACAATGCTAAACACCTGAAACTTAGATGTTACGGACCAGTATTACCTCATTAAAAGTTAAAAACTGGATAAAAATCACTTTTAAAATCTTTCAGTACCTTTTTTCACTCCCCCTTTAGCTTTACCTGTTGACTTCTCTTGTTTATTATACAAACAGGAAAATATCAG